CAAAGGCATGCAAAGGAAGGGTCTGAATCCAAGAATACTGTACCCAGCAAGGCTATCAATCAAAACTGAAGGTGAAATCAGGAGCTTCACAAACAAAAAAAGACTAAAGGAATTTATCTCCACCAAACCAGCAATGCAAGAAATGCTAAAGGGTCTACTGTAAAAATAAAGAAATAGGAAGCAAAAAAGAACACAGGGGTATAGAATAAAAATGGCATCAAATAAGTACCTATCAATAATACCTTTAAATGTAAATAGATTAAATGCTCCAATAAAAAGACATAGGGTAACAGATGGAATAAGAAAACAAGACCCATATATCTGCTGTCTACAAGAAACCCATTTCAGAAAAAAAGACGCACACAGACTGAGGGTGAAGGGATGGAAAAAAATTTTCCAGGCGAATGGAAATGAAAAAAAAGCTGGGATATCAATACTTATATCTGATAAATTAGATCTCAAAGTGAAGGACATAACAACAGATAATGAAGGCCACTTCATAATACTAAAGGGAGCAATTCAACAAGAAGAAATAACCCTGGTAAACATATATGCATCCAATACAGGAGCACCCAAACACATAAAAAAAAAATTGCTGAGGACATTAAAGGAGAGATTAATAGCAATACAATCATAGTAGGAGATTTTAATACCCCACTATCACCTTTGGACGAATCATTTAAATAAAAAAATCAGCAAAGAAATATCAATCCTAAACGACAAACTAGACCGGATGGAATTAATCGACATCTTCAGAACATTTCGTCCCAAAGCCACAGAATATACATTCTTCTCAAGTGCACATGGGTCATTTTCAAAGACAGACCACATGTTGGGACATAGGCAAAGTCTCTTCAAATTCAAGAAGATAGAAATCATATCAAGCATCTTCTCAGATCATAGTGGCATAAAATTGGAAAATAAACTACAATAAAAAAAAATCCAAAGAAATCAAACACATGGAGACTAAATAGAATGCTATTGAACAAGGACTGGGTTACCAGAAAAATCAAGGAAAAATTAAAAACATCATGGCAACAAATGACAATGAAAACACAACAATCCAAAATCTATGGGACACAGCAAAAGCAGTTTTGAGAGGGAAGTTCATATCTCTACAAGCCTATTGCAAAAAAACAAGAAAATTGGTAACAAATTATCTAACTCTACAACTCAAAGAGTTAGGAAAAGAGCAACAAGAAAAGCCCAGTGTAAGCAGAAGGAAGGAAATAACAAAAATCAGGGCGGAGATAAATGATATAGAGACCAAAGAAACAATACATAAGATCAACAAAACCAAGAGCTGGTTCTTTGAAAGGATAAATTCAAGAGAAAGGAACACTTACAACCTCCCTTCTATAAAGCCAGCATCACCCTAATACCAAAACCAGATAAAAGACAACACAATGAAAGAGAATTACTGGCCAATATCCCTCATGAACATAGAGGCCAAAATCCTCAACAAAATTCTAGCAAATAGGCTCCAGCAGTACATCAGAAAGATCATACACCATGACCAAGTAGGATTTATCCCAGGAACGCAAGGATGGTACAATATCCACAAATCAGTAAATGTGATACATCACATAAATTGAGAGATAAAAATCATATAGTCATATCAATCGATGCAGAAAAGCTTTTGATAAAATCCAACACCCTGTCCTGATAAAAATTCTCAACAAGGTGGGAATAGAAGGATCATACCTCAATATAATAAAAGCTACATATGATAAACCCACAGCAAACATCATACTCAATGGGCAAAAACTAAAACCATTCCCTCTAAGAACAGGAAGACAGGGATGCTCACTCTCACCACTCCTGTTTGACATAGTACTGGAAGTACTAGCTATTACAATTAGACAAAAAGAAGAAATAAAAGGCATTCAAATTGGAAAAGAAGTAAAGTTATCCTTATTTGCAGATGACATGATATTGCACATCAAAAACCTAAAAGACTCCATAAAAAAACTAATTGACTTAATAAATGAATTTGGCAATGTATCAGGATACAAAATAAATGCCAAGAAATCTATGGCATTTCTATACACCAACAGTGAACTTTACAGAAACAGAGACTAAAAAAGCAATCCCATTTACCATCGCACCAAAAAAATTAAGATACCTAGGAATAAACTTAACTAAGGAGATAGAAGACTTATATGCGGAAAACTTCATGACACTGAAAAAAGAGATAGAGGAAGATGTAAACAGATGGAAGAACATACCATATTCATGGATTGGTAGAATCAACATCATCAAAATGTCCATACTTCCCAAAGCAATTTATAAGTTCAATGCACTCCCCATTAAAATACCAATGGCATACTTCACAGGCCTAGAAAGAACTCTCCAAAAATTCATCTGGAACAACAACAACAAAAACAAAACAAAACAAAACAAAAAACTGAATAGCCACAGCAATCCTGAGAAAGAAGAATAAAGTAGGAGGGATCTCAATACCAGATTTCAAGCTGTATTACAAAGCCACTGTTCTCAAAATAGCCTGTATTGGCACAAGAACAGATATATAGATCAATGGAATAGAATAGAGAATCCGGATATCGACCCAAACCTCTATACTCAATTAATATTTGACAAAGGAGGTATGAACATACAATGGAGTCAAGACAGTCTCTTCAATAAATGGTGTTGAGAAAATTGTACAGACACTTGCAAAAAAAATGAAACTAGATCACCAAATTACACAATACACAAAAATAAACTCAAAATGGATACAGAACTTAAACATAGACAGGAAACCATAAAAATACTTGAGGCATCCACAGGTAGCAAAATCTCTGACAAAAGAACTTATTCACTGATACTTCCCCTAGAGCAATGGAAGCTAAAGAGAAAATAAACAAATGGGACTACATCAAAATAAAAAGCTTTTTCACAGCAAAAGAAACCATCAACAAAACAACACTGTATGGGAAAACATATTTGCAAATGTTATCACTGATAAAGGTTTAATCTCCAACATCTATAGACAGCTTATACAACTAAATAAAAGAAAGATAAACGACCCAATTAAAAAATGGGCAATGGACCTAAATAGAATATTTTCAAAAGAATACAGAAGGAAGGCCAAGAGGCACATGAAAATATGCTCAAAGTCACTAATTATCAGAGAGATGCAAATCAAAACAACAATGCAGTACCATCTCACACCTGTCAGAAAGGCCAACATCAACAAATCAACAAACGACAAGTGTTGGCGAGGTTGCAGAGAAAAAGGAACCCTCCTGCACTGCTGGTGGGAATGCAGACTGATGCAGTCACTGTGGAGGACTGTATGGAGTTTCCTCAAAAAACTGAAACTGGAACTGCCATTCGATCCAGTAATCCAACTCCTAGGAATATATCTTAAGAAACCAGAAACACCAATCAGAAAGGAAATATGCACCCCCATGTTCATAGCAGCACAATTTACAATAGCTACAATTTGGAAACAGCCTAGGTGCCCATCAGCAGATGACTGGATCAAAAACCTATGGTATATCTACACAATGGAATACTATGCTGCCATAAAAAGAAGGAATTCTTATCATTTGCAGCAACCTGGATGGAATTGGAGAACATCATGCTGAGTGAAATAAGCCAGTCAATGAAAGAGAAACACCACATGACCTCACTCATTTATGGATAATAAAGAACATTATAAACCGATGAACAAAAAGATAGATACAGAGATAGTAGAGCAACAAACAGACTGTCAAATTACAGCGGGGAGGATAGGGAGATATGGGGGAGATAAGAGATCAACCGAAGGACTTGTATGCATGCATATAAGCAAAACCAATGGAAGAAAAACTCTGGGGGGAGTGGGGGTAGGGAAGGCATATATGGATGTGGGGGGGCAATGGAAAGATATATACACATATAATACCTTAATCAAAAATAAAAAAAGAATATATAGGTAATTCCTTTACATGAATATTGAAAAGCTAGACAACTCCATAGAAAATAGGAAAGCTTTAGAAAATTTGTTCTAGAAACTTGAGAGAAAATTCACAAAAGAGGAATCCTGAATGGTGAAGAAATATGAAAAGATCTTCAATTTCACTTGTAATCAAGGAAACAAAAAGTATGGGAAAAATTATATGTCTGATAATATCAGGTACTGATTAGCATTTGAGAAAATGATAACTGCATGGTTTCTGGTGGAAGAGTTATACTTTAGAGAGCAATCTGATAATATCAAGAAGAGTTAAAATTGTACATATCTTGGATCCAGTTGTTTTACTTCCAGGCACAAATCTAGAGAAATATATATTCAAGGAGAAACAAAAGAGGATGTTGTTGCATTTTATTATTATAAAATGAAGACACTTAAATTTTCTTCCATATAAGAATACATTTTAAAAAGATTTATACAATGAGCAGAGATGCAACTTTTTAGATATACACTGTATCAAAATTAACAAATTTCAAAATTATAATATTGAGCAAATATGCAAGTTGCAAATGTATACCTATAATGTAATACCACTTTTAAAAACTTACAGCACAAGAAAAAAAATACACAATTTTATGCATTATCTGAGGGTAAGAAATATATAGAAAAGTATAAACATGCAAAAGAGTTATACAACCAGGAACCTTATACATACTAACCACTAGGGAGGGAGAAGTGGAAAGGTTAAGGAGCTGGATCTTGTAATATTTTGCTTCTTTGAATAAAGAAAAATTAGAAGTAAATATGTCAAAATGTGAAGAGCCTTAACTTTGGGAGTGGGGATGTATAAACATGTCTTTTATATTACTTGATTTGTGTACTTTCTTGGTACATTTGAAATGCTAAAGAGTACTCTAAGGGGTAGGGCAGTAATAAGTTAGAGGAGAACCAGAGTGGATACAAGAACAGTTATCAAGCTACAACTCACAGTATATTTAAATAATTTAAGTGTTTGCTTATATATTTAATTTATGGAAAACCAAACTAAACTCTTCAACAGGATGCAGGACTTACTACAAGCACACTTCTCCAAACTCACCTGCTCGACCTCTCTAGTGAGGGCTTCTACCTTTTCTTTTAATCTGTTCCCCTCTGCCTCAGCAGTGATAAGTTCTAATTTGAGAGTATTGTTGTCTATCTCTGCTTGCCGGGCCTTATTTTCCCAGTTTTCAGCATCTTCATTGGCTTTTTGGAGTTGGTCCATCATTTGTCGGTTCTCAGATTCCTGAAAAGCAAACCCTTGGTAATACTTTAAAAGATGTAAAATGTTCAACATATAATTAAACATTATTTGTCAGGTCATTGGTAATTTTCTTGCTACAAGGATCATTGGTAACATAACCTTGAGGAATCCCATCCGCACTCTGTTTGGGAAATTGGTCATCCTGTCATTAACAAAAGGGGGTGGGACCAGCATCTACCCTGGCTCCTGAGTCACACTCACCCATCCAGTCACGTGAATTTCCTTATTCTCATCTTTAGGACATGGGTGAATATGTTCTTATATTTGCTTTTGTTCAAACGGGAATCTTCCATGGCTTCAGTGTCCCACGTGTCTGCTTACTGGCTAGTTGCTGGCCTGGTTTCGGAGCATCTGTCTTGGCCTGGCCTTTTGTATCTGTCTATTCCCTTCCTCCTGACCACTTTTCTGAGTTGTACTGATTACAGAGCTTCTGACTGATGGCATATAGTAAGCATCAACATCTGATACTTCTGGATTGGCACATTTCCTGTCTGATTCTGGATTTTCATTCAGAACCCTATCCTTAGGTTTCTCCATCATGGACTGTGCTATGACCCACAGTTGCTCACTGCCCTAATAACTTGTCTGAAATGGCTCTGAAATTACATATCAAATCTATGCCAATAAATACTACTCATGACTATATATCCAGGTATGTGTTGGGCATATAATATGGAACCACACTTTCAAAACCTTAAGACTGATAGGCTAAAGTAGGATCTTATTTCTAGAGGAAAGCAGTCAGCTCCACAAATAACATACTATATTTAGTAATCATTTTGAGGCTATATTTAAAAACATATTTAGTAGTATGGTTTGGCCAACTCATTTTAAAAAATAATTTATAATTTTGGTAATTAATTAAGAAGGCACTAGATCTCTTTCTCTCCTACCTGTTAATAAACAGTGCATATTTAGAAGCATTGGACTAAATAAAATGACCAAATTACAATAAATAATGTCTCACACTGTAAGGCTTTCAAATCAGATTTAAATCCTCACAATATGATTAAGCATAATTTTGGTTGAAATTAGTTAATATTACCACATTGTGGCCTGATGGTACTTTGACTAATTTGAAAGATCTTTGCAGAGTGTTAGTTAACAAGTTCACAAGCCGAACTATTGTCTGTCTTTCGAGATTCAGATATACCAAATGTGGCAGTAGGGATCTGATGTGTGTTTTCTATTATTGTACTAAAAAGAATAGTTGTGTATTGGGTAAATGGTACAATATACATAAACTAGATGTTACCCACACCAATCTTTACCCTCTTTAATTTTCTGCAGCACTCACTGTCTATGCCGTTTCCTTAAAACTGCCTTACAGCTTTAGGAAATTAGATGCATATGTACAATCTCCCCAATAACAACTTGGATTCCTCAAAGATAGGAACCAACTTTTATATTAAATTTATTTTGTGACTAGGTAATACTGTACAGGTGCAAGTTTAAATGGTAAAAAAGAATTGGCATAAAATGTCTTTCCCTCCAACCATCAAGGGCCCCTTCCTTGTGGCAACCAAGAGGCCATATTTTACTCTTTTTTAGATCTGTCCAAAGAAGTCAGAGCAGTGTGGGGCCCAAGACAGGCAACAGCATAAAGAAAGGGAAACTGCTGGGAATTCTCCAATTCTCTTTCAAGATGTCTTTACTTCCAAACCTGTATCCCACAGCCCCCTCCGGTGGTCCCCTGTGGTCATTACAACATTCGACCACAGCAAAGCTCACTGCCTCCATTGGAACCATATAGCCTCTTCTAATTGCTCTCTCTCCTGATATTCTTACCCTTCTGATTTATTCTCTCCAACATCTCCAGAATAATCTTTCTAAAAGGAAGTTATTCAAATGACTTCTGTGTTTCTGTTGTAACAAAATGTAAAAATGGCATTTAAACAAGTCCTCTTACCTCTCTGTTATCACCCATCTATACACGCCACTCTAGCTACAGGACATACTACTTCCCCTAACACCTTTGCTGATGCTGTCCCCACCGCCTGGGGTGCCATTCTGTTTCCTTTCAGTTTTCATCTCCGGCACCTCTGCACCTAGCACACTGCATGCTGAATGGAGGAGTGAATGAAAATGCACCTGACAGTTCTTACTAGGTCACCTGTCCTTTGTGCTCTCTGGGGGAGGGGGGTGCCTGGATCCATCCAATGGTGCTGTGAAATGAAATCCAGTGAAAGAACTCATCCTAGCAAGCTAGAAGCTAAGAGAAACCTGATGTGTGATGTCTGAAAACACAACTCCAGAATCTAAAAGCCCCAATCCTTAATGTGACAGGGTAGGGAGAAGAGGGGGACTGATTTACACTAATTCAGAGTTAACTATGCTCAATGTTGCTAAGATATTCATTTATTCATTTTCTGCCCTGTTCCAGAATAGACTTAAATGGATCATTGGGCTAGATCTGCTGACTGACCTGGGTGTTCTTCCCAGTTACAGCGGGGACAGACACTAGGAGAGGCTGAGTAGCCCACTGAGTCCAAGCCATTAAGGGGAAGAGGAGTCAGACCTATCTGATTCCAGAGCTCCTGTCCATTCGTGATATTACATGCTGGCTTCTAAAATCAAGAATGTGGAAATGCCTACTTTGTCAGTGTAAGCTCACTGCTCTATTGCCTGAAAGCAAGAATTGCGATTTAGGAGTCCTTACACTTTCCATCTCTCAATGTCCTAAATAAACTAATGAACACCACACATAAATGCTCTACATACGTTTGTGGATTGATATGAAATAATATGTTCAATCAAATAAAGAAAACAGATTTTCTTGGGGTGAGTTTCTATTAATGGTTTCAGTGGTATGTAGGTAACAAACACTAGACCTATTATAATCCAACTATACTTTTTAATCAATTAGACTTCTCTATTTTAGATAACATTTTACTAAATGGACACATCTAACATCATTTATCAAGGCTTCTATTTATTCCAGAATTGTCACATATGCACTAAATTTCCTTTAAGCATCCACACACCTGGTCAAATGGCTACTGGCAGAGAAGTGGCGAGGAGAGCCATCTGCCTTCTGATCCTAAGAAATAAACAGACTCACAACAGCGTGATCAATTCTGATCTGCTACACATCATGGAGCCTCTTTTGTCCACGTTTACACCTGGAATCTCTACCATTTTCAAATATGAATGAACCAAAGTTGATTCTGGCCCCCTGTCCTTTACCAGTTAGGAGGATTCTGGACATTGGTTGTGTTCTAAATATAGAATAAACCCATCACTGACAACACTAAAATAAGCTATGCATTAAAGGAAGACTTGGTTCAGCTCTCCCCTTGAGTGTGATCAGAAGTTCAGTGAAAACTCAGGTATCTTGAGAAAGGAGGGGGAATATACATACGTACTTCAGACTTTAATATATTCTTCAGCTTGTTAACCTCCAAATTAGTATCATGGACCTTCTGTTTTATATCATTAAGTTCATTATGAGTATCATTCAATTGTTTAGCCAGGGCCTATGAGAAAATATAGCTAAATTTAACTACAAAATGAATAAACAATTGCTCTGTGTCAAAACCACCACGAATAAATTTTTAAATATTTATTATAAATAAAAATTAATATACCTAATATATAAAGCTCATATAAAAAGTGAGAAACTGTGAGTCCAAACTGTAAATGGGCCAAAGTCCCAAACAAATAATTCAAAAAAAGGAAGCACAAGAGGATAATACTTTTAAAATTTAAAAATTTATTAGTAAATCAAATAAATGCTAATTAAGATAATGAAATACTATTTGCCTATTAATTAACAAGGATTTAAAGCTATTTTGTCATGGCAAAGAATGGGCATTTCCATGTATCATTGGAGTAAATGTATATTTGCAAAAAAACTAATCTGTGATCTGTGGGACACATCCCCTCCTCCGTGTACCAATTTCATGCACTGGGCCTCTAGTTTTTAATAACAGAGGAAAACATCCATCTATAGGTAGTGAAAAAAAAATCAGGACAAAATATTAAAAATACCTCATTCTAATTTGTTTTTAATTGTGGTATTCAGGGTAAAATTTTTTTTTTTTAATCCTTACCTGCGGATATTTTTCCATTGCTTTTAGATAGAATTGAAGAGGAAGGAAGAGGGAGAGAGAGAGAAACATGGATGTGAGAGAGGCACATCCATTGGCTACCTCCCGAATACTCTCCTACAGGTTGGATATAGAACCTGCAACCACTCTATTGCTCTTGATTGGGAACAGAAACTGAGACACTTCCTGGCTAGCATGGTTCAGTGGTTGAGCATTAAACTATGAACCATGAGGTCATAGTTTGATACCTGGTCAGAGCACATGCTCGAGTTGTGGGCTGGATCTCCAGTGTGAGTATACAGGAGGCAGCTGATCAATGATTGATTCTCTCTCATCATTGATGTTTCTTCTCTCTCTTCTCCCTTCCTCTCTGAAATCAGTAAAAATCTATTAAAAACAACAACAACAACAACAAATACACAACCCTTTGGTGCACAGGCTGACACACTAAGCACTGAACAAGCCCAGTTAGAGCAGGGTGAAATTTTTTTTTAAGGTTTCTGTTTTCCACATCTTCTGTGATAAGGGTTCTTTATCTGCTCTCCACAGAAGAATCCATCTTCTATGATGGAGCTTATGACTCAAATGAAGGAAAAAGCTACTGTTGAAAATATGAAAATTGTTATGATACGAATTTTCTTTTGATTATACAAAATGTTCATAAAATTTTTAAAAAGCAGGTAAATGCTTATAATGTCCCTACAAAATATTTATCAAGTGATTATGCTGGACTCTGATAAGTGCTTTCTAGGTATATTCTCACTTACTCTCCGTGTTTACAGATGATGAACTGAGATTCAGAGAAGTTAAGTGATATTATTACACAGCCAGGCAGGTGGATTTTAATGCATGTGGGTCCTAAACATTTCACTCTACTGTCCCCTCATGTAGAAAAACCATGATGTGAAGGGGTATGTGGTTTTATTCCAGCTACATAAAAAGTTCATGTAAAATATGAAAAATTTCAAAAATAGATTAAAAAATAGTAAAAATATGTTAATGGAAGCTAACTGTGTAGTAAAAATGAGTTTTTAACTTATTTTTTCCATAAATATAGGTTATATTTACCTTTAGCCTATTTTCTAGAGCTTTAGGGAGCACAAAATTATAAATTTACATTTTTTGTTTTCATTGCCATTAATAAATTTTAAAATATAGGTTTTAATTTATAGAAAAGTTGTGAAAATACTAGAGTCCACATATACTCTATATTCAGTTTCCTCTTTCATTAACTTGTTCTATTAGTATGCTACACCTATCAAAATATTGATACATTATTAATTCAAGTTCATATTTTATTCAATTTGTTTCATTTTTATTTGTTTAATCATTGATTTATTTTTATTATTTTTTTATTTTTTAGCATAATTAGACTTGTTATTTATTTTTTCTTTATAGATTAAGGTATTACATATGTGTCCTTATCCCCTCCTTGCCCTCTTAACTCCCCACTCACCCCCATGGTGTCTAAGTCCATTGGTTAGGCTTATATGCATGCATACAAGTCCTTTGTTGATCTCTCCCTCTTAGCCCCAACATGCCCCTATCTTCCCTCAGAGGTTTGACAGTCTGACTGATGCTCTCTGACTCTGGATCTGTTCATCAGTTTGTTATATAATAATTTTTTTTTTTTTAGAGAAACAGAAAGAAAGAGAGAAAAAGTACTGGTTTGTTGTTCTGCTTATTAATGCATTCATTAGTTGACTCATGTATGTGCCTTGACTGGGGATTGAACCCGCAATCTTGATAAATCAGGATGATGCTCTTACTGAGCATCAGGGCCAGATTTTTTTCATTTTTATGTGCTGTCCCTTTCCTGTTCCCAAATCCTATTATTCGTTAACTTTGAACACAGTATTTTAACATAAATAATTTTTATAATTAACAAAATGTTGCATCTTTATATCTATTTATAAAAATTAAAAATATTTAACTGTTAAAATACAAAATTTTATGATGCAAACAAAACACAATTGAGAATGACAGTACATGGGGGATATCATTTGGACTGAAGAATTTTCAGTTGGAGAAAATCTTCCAAAATAGAATGTTTTTAATGGTCAAATTAAAATAATATTGGAAGTGAGAAACGTGGATAAAGTATATTGGCGTAGGGAGAAAGTTATTATAAAGTAAATTTTTCTGAAAAGATTTAGTGCCAAGGAGAACCAAAAACCATACACTCATACTTAGAGTAATAGTCTCTGAAGTAACCTACCATTTCTTAAAAGTTTCTGAAGCTTTTATCTTCATTTGTTGAGTACTTCTAAAGTTGAATATACATCTATCATATTCCCTGCTCTCTCTCTCCTTAATATTTAACATTTTATGCCTGAGAGTCTCATTTAGAAATTAGGGGCATATTGTGTAATAGAGGTAAAAATGGCTGCTTCCAGAGCCTGAGCTTTTCTACAGAATGAAAGAGAATCGCGCCTCAGAGGAAACGTGTTTTCTTGGAGAAAAAGAGACTAGGACAAATATACCTGGTTCTCTTGTTTAGCTTTGGAAAACTGTTCTTGGAGATTGTCATTCTCATGAGCCAAGATATCTCTTTCCCTGGCGATTTGAGCCAATTCGTCATTTGTTTCATCCAACTGCCTGCGCATCCTGGAAATGTCTTGTTCACACATAATTAGCGCTTCAGTAGACTGTCTATTGCACAAATCAAATAGTACGTCAGAAGAGGCATTTTGCCAAAACAGAAAAACAAATTCTCACATGACAGAAGATGGACAGTTAGCATAAAAACATTTGAAGAAGTTTTAAACACATTTAAATTTATACGAATAAATACTGTGAAAATAGTGCATTCGAGTTTCTCTGTGTTGCCAACATTTCACTATGGAAAAAGGATGCTGAATACACATAACAGTCTAAGTATTACCTAAGTATTTCAAAACTTCTGACATTCAAATATAAGAAAGCTTTCCTCTGACCTCTAGCTGCCATGGCTAGTCTCCTTTGCAGGTTCCTCTTCCTCTGCCCTCTTAAAATGTAAGCGTTCTGAGGGCTCAACTCTTAAGTCTCCTGTTTCTTACTCTCTGCCATCGCTCAGACAGGTACTACTCATATCCATGGCTCCCACCCCATCTATACCCTGAAGACTCTGAAATCATTACCTCCAGCCTTGGCCTCCTCCTTACTCTCCAGACTCTCATATTTAGCTGCGTATGAGTCAGATATACAAGGTCTCAAAGGCTCTTCCAATTCAGAGGAAAGCCATCGCCTTCCATAGTCTCTACACGTCCAGTATTCATCCCTCAAAACCTGGCATTTTCCTATATTTTCTTCCTCAGAAGCACCTCACCTTGACCACACTCGCCAACCCCAATCTGTCATCATTCTTCAGTGTGGGTAATCTTTCTAACACAACATTCTCTTCAGATTCCTTAATGATTTCTTATTTCCCAAAGGATAAAATCAAGATGCATTTGTCTATAAGTCAGGCCTCTGTGTTTAGCCTTTCCTCCCTTCACACCTCCTCTCTCACTTTGGGTTCCAACACTCACTTACTTGCATTCACCAGGCTCCTGAACTTTCTGTGGTCTGTGGTTCTCTGCTGTCCTTTCCTTGGCAGACGCCATATCCTCTTTTACTTCCCTACACAGTCTTAGGCCCCCTTCCAACCAGAAAGGGATCACCCTAAATGTAACACTAAGCCCCCACTTCTTACAATCTTTGTACCTAACATAGTACCTTGCCCCTAAATATGTACTCAAATTCTTGTTGGACGAGTGGTTTACCTTGATGCCTGTTCCATCTCAGCAATGATATTCTTCATGCCTGAAATGGTCTTTTCCTTGACAGGAAATATAAGTATGACATAAAAAAATGATCTTAAACTGTTATTTCTGTTAAAACCGAATGAACAAAAATCAATTTCCCCCACCCTTTTTCATTTACATTTGGGTTTAAACATTTATGCTCTATTCATCTTTCCTACACCTTAAAATTAAAGCCTACTATATCAATGCCAATATTTGTACTAGACAAAAACAATCAATTATGCTCATTAAAACTACACTCGGGTGTATTGATATGAGATCAATGTGCCAAATGCTCTGTTAGGCTTTTGCTGTCCCCCAACACCAGAGCCTCCAGAGCCCTCTGTACTGGAGCAGACCAGTGGTTTGCACCAGGGTGTTCTCCATGGGGAGTAGACGGATTCACTTCCTCAGGACACGTTATGAAACCCAGGAAAGTGAATGATGTGAACCTAAATTTAGTTCCTAAGACTAATAACTTTAAGTATATTATTTATATTAGTCATCAATATAAATAATGGTCATAAATCCATGTAGCTGCTAAAATGAAATTACTTATAAAAGTCTATTTTTAAGTTTGTGTGAGTTAAATAAGCATAAGGCCTCGAGCAAAAAGTGAATAAAATAAACTACTGATATCTCCCTTTTCAAGGGTGTGGTGAGGAGATTCAGGAGTCAGTCAAGGCTGAAATAGGTGTGCTTATCTTCATGCCATCAATACTATTCCCACACTTCCTCCTTTGAAAATGCTTGTTGATGGTGAACTAGTTAAAGATACTATTCACAGACACTTGACTAATATTAGTCCTGTTCTTTCACTAAATAATTAGATTTCACTTTGCCCTTTGAAGTTTGAAATCCTAAGTAACCAAGGCAACAAGATGAAAATCTAAACCTATATTTCCAACCAGTTCTGTTCCTGTTCATCAGGAAAGTTTAGTACATGTTGTGTGTGCACATGCATGTATATGTGTTATCTCCCTTTACTCATGTGTTCCTCTCTGGGGTAATTTTAGTTCTGGTTTCCCATTCTGCTTCTGGTATAATAGAATGGTGCAGATGGATATTGGAATGTGGTTAACATATCCATTAGCAAAGCAGTTAACCCCCATTTAAGAAGCCAAGCCAATCAAGGAAAAACTCAAAGAGAAAATACCACTTAAAATGGAATGTTTATACATGCCTTTGAAATATAATTTAATACATTTCCAATTAAATTCTGAAAAACAAATTGAACTTTTAGTATTTCTGAAATACTTTTTAGGCTTATAAATCATATTTAAGCTTTACCAAAAGCTTAAATATGATTTATAAGCCTAAAAAGAACTTTCTTTTGTCAATAGAAATTCATCTTGAAAGTATGACTATACAATACTAAGAACTTTGTAAAGTATCCAGGACAACAAAATTACTGTGTAAAATCCAGTAATATATATCCTATCAGCAGTATTTTCTCTTCATACTACCCTAATATCAGCAGCTATTGATATTTATGCCATCATTGTCAATTTAACATTTCTGTGCAACTTCAATGTTTGTCCTATTAGAGACATGGGTTCAAGTTAATTGTTAAAAATTTAACCTGGGAAAGATGGTCATAAATCCATATAGAGAAAAAAAATAAACTAAAATATCATACAGATAATTATGGCTTTTAATACTAAAAAGCCTGTGAACTTCCTAATGAGTTTTCTAACTTTAACTGGTAGTAAGTAGTGGGACATCTTTTTAAATTACCAATAAGATGAAAAAACTTCCTATTATTCATTATAATATAGACTTTCCATAGGAATTTATTTCTGTAATCTCCAGATTAGACTGTAAGAGTATTGTTTTTCATGGTATGGTATTTACAAATTGAACTTTAAAATATTATTGTGGAAACTGTTTCCTCTTTGCATGTCTAATATTGCTTTAAAATGTTTGTTTCTCCTCAGAGGATGGATGTGTTAATGTTCATGATCTTATACAAGATCATGAGATGGATTGGCAATTCAATATTCCTTGTGAAGGAAAAGATAATGTTAGTATAATTAACAGAATGGAAGGAATGTGAGATATAGATATAGCCAAGGGAAATCAGATAGATCTGAATAATGTGTTTCTAAGTGTTAGAATTTATAAAACAATACACACAAACATGTTTAACTCCTCAAGTAGTAGTGTTTAAATATGAGAAAAAATTCTATCCCCCAAAGCCATAATATTTTTTAAAATATTAAAGTATAGCTTATAGAGATGAGTCAGCCTTTTAAATAAGTAAACCAATATTCAGCATCTCAGGCACTTTGATGGCTTCCATTAGGCTCATGATTCTCAAATCCAATAACTTCAATTCCAGTTTCTCTCTAAACCTAAAAATCCAAGAGCCTAAGCATATTTCAGCATGTCCCAAAGGCACGTGGATCACCTTCCTCTGAGCATGCCTTGTTTCCCGTGCTTCCTACTTCATGCATAGCAACTGCTCACATGGTTCTTCGGTCAGAAAGCACGTCTTGTCAACCTTACTCCTTTTGTCGACCTATTTCTCCCATGGATACTGCCACTCTCCTGCACAGTTCTTATCATTTTACTCCTTACTAGTATCCTTGTCACCATTATCACTTTCCTATAATTCATCTTTTACATGGGTTAACAAGTGCTACAATATTTCTTTTAAAATAAAGATATAACTGTAAAGTTTTGTTTATATTATTTCATTGGTTCACTATATCAATGATATTCTAAACTCAACATTACATACATTTTTAAATTTGTTGCTTACCTACCCATCTCATTTTTTTGCCACCTACCCTACCCCATGCTTACCTCTCTGCACTCTCTGCTCTGGCATTATAAACTATCGAGAAACCCTGTGACACTCTCTGGTGAATGCCACTGGGCTCTCCTAAGTTGCTCTTCCCGTCTGGGTTCCCTTTCTCTAATATTATAGGTATCTGTCTGTCTGAATCACCCTTCCTCTCACTTAGCCTTTCTCTAAGTCTCTTCCTGACTAGTTCCTAGTCAATTTTCAGGGCAGTCCAGGTACTATCATCTCCTGGAAAGCTTTCTAGATCTTCTCCTCTCCTAATCCAACCAGCAGGTTAAGTCAACTGTGCTTCTGCCAGACTGCACGTTGTGCATACACAGCACATTCTATCATAAAGTACCTTTACTTATCTGTCTCCCAATTATACTGCAGGCTTTGGAAGGTGTGTCCACTCCTCCTTAGTTTCTAACATAATATACCTGGTACTTGTCAATAAATGTTTGTTTTATGGGTGAATAGATAAATGAGTGAATTAATTCCCTTAGAGAGGGGCAAGGCCTTATTCCAATGATGCTGCTTTGCTTATGACATCTGTGGAAAATAGTTTAGAAATTGCTTTCAGAAACACTTTATAAGCAAGAAAAGGATATGAATATTTCCCTGTCTTTTTGGCAACATCTTTTATGTTGTTTGAACAACAAAAACTGAGGAATGGAGATTATTATCCAGCTTTATTTACCAACTCCATAAGGCAGGGAGGGCAGACCTTTTTTCTGCCAAGGGCCATTTGGATATTTATAACATTGCTTACTATAATTCACTGAATCTATGTTGCTGTAAAAAAGGTCGTGTGTTTATTGAACTTCGAGTCTGCCTGTAGTTGCATTGGCAGGGCCAGACCAAACGATGTGTGGGTCTTACATGGCCCCTGCCATATGGTCTCATCTCAATGACTAAGGATGATGTAAAAACCTGCATCTAGTTCTGAACACAATTACAAAGGCAGTTTTAATGGAATAAACATATTGCCTCCCACAGTGACTTCCTGAAGATATAAGTTCTGGTGTGCTTTAAAAAAAAAAATCAATCTCACTACTTTCTTTTTCATTTGAATATTTGATATTTGAATTAGTTGTCAGCGTCTTAACTGCACAGTGATGAGAGAAAGAACACATTTTTAAAACTATACTGAAATATTTCAAAATCACATTTCAAAGTTTCAGCTCTCTAGAAAAAATTTTGAGAGAATCCTATTATTTTATTCAGATTCCAGTGCAAACACTTCTTTTAAACTACAGTTCTCAGAACATACTTTCATTGCCAAACTTTCTCCAAGGGATGCGATATTCTCAGACTTTTTATCCAAGCATGCTTGCAGGCATTCCTTTTCTTTAACCAGATCATTGAGGGTTGCACCAAGGATGCTGATTTCTTCTCGCTGGGCAATGCTTTGCCTTGTAAAATTATCTAAGTATGTAATCATAAAGGCATTTCTTAATCAAGATAATTATTCAGTCCAAGTGGATCGAAATACTTTTCAAAGTAAGTTCTCTTATATTCAATGCCTACAAATAAGTATAGTATTCCAAGTAAAAACATGGCTTTTGTTAGTAATTAAAATCTAAAATGGCTCTCAAATGTAAAAGCACAATTAACATATTTGAATAAGAATAGCAAAGGAAAGCTCTAAATTACAAGTTCTTAAAGAAGATTTACATACTGTAGGTGGATGGAGTTTGGTGGAATACTAAAACGACCATACACCCTCAATTTCCCCTCTCTCTAACTAGAATCATTGTTGCATATAAGTTGGTAACAGATCTTAAAATATTCAATTAAGTCATGTTCAGAGTCAAATGTCTCCTACTACTCTGATCTCTCTAAATTTTCCCTAAAGGTTCCTAGAAAAAAAAAAATCATCCCAGGACGTCTGAGTTGATTGTGAAAACACTGACAAGCCAACGTCAATGCTGAAGGCCTAATGGCTGCTATATTCTCAAACTGTGGTTTCTCAGCCAGCACCATCAGCATCACCTGGAACCCCAGTTTACTGAATTAGAAATTCTGACAGGGCAGAGCAATTATGTCTTAACAAGCAGCCCTCCCATGTGACTCTAATGCACAATAGCTTGAGAACTGCCTGTGCAAACAGGAAAAGACACAAAAGCCTTGGCCATCTGCTACCCCAGGAGCTGGCCCTAGTGGTCTGCACTAGCCCTTCAGCGGATCCTAACTACACCCAGTCTGAGAACCTCTGGTCTAGAGCTGTAGGATACTCCCTCTGCCAAAGACCACCCAGGGCAATATAAGAGAGGCACTATCCCATGCCAAGAGGATGATCTATATAGTACCTGAGAATACATCAACTTCCTTTTCCAGGCTACTACCCGTGTTTCCCCAAAAATAAGACATCCTCCGAAAATAAGACCTAGCGCATGGAAAGATAAGACATCCCCTGAAAATAAGACCTAGCACAACTTTGGGAGAAAAAATTAATATAAGACACTGTCTTATTTTGGGGGAAACAGGGTATCTTTCAGGCAAACCAGATGTTGTAGGTGTTCTGATATATGAGTCCATCCTCATTGGCATACATTAAAGAAATGAAAGCTCTGAAACAGCTCTAGGAATTGCTAGCTTTAAAAATAATCCTCCACCTCACATCCCACTCAAGCTGCCACCCAACTTTTCTTTCTTTTTTTTTAAATAAAAAATCTTTATTGTTCAGATTACAGGTGTTCCTCTTCTCCCCCTCCCCCATAGCTCCCCTCCACCTGATTCCCCACCCCACCCCATTCCCTTACCTCCCCCTACTGTCCTCATCCATAGGTGTATGATTTTTGTCCAATCTCTTCCCACACCCCTCAGACCCCCTTCCCCCTGAGAATTGTCAGTCCACTCCCTTTCTATGTCCCTGATTCTATTATATTCACCAGTCCATTCTGTTCTTCAGATATTTTATTCACTTGATTTTTAGATTCACTTGTTGGTAGGTATGTATTTGATGTATTTTTGTTGTTCATAATTTTTACCTTTACTTTTTTCTTCTTCTTCCTCTTCTTAAAGAATACCCTTCAGCATTTCATGTAATCCTGGTTGGTGGTGATGAACTCCTTTAGCTTTTTCTTGGCTGTGAAGCTCTTTATCTGACCTTCAATTCTAAATGTTAGCTTTGCTTGGTAATCTTGGTTGTAAGTTCTTGCTATTCATCGCTTTGAATATTTCTTGCCACTCTCTTCTGGCCTGCATAGTTTGTGTTGAGAAATCAGCTGACAGTTGTTTGGGTACTCCCTTGTAGGTAACTGTTTTTTCTCTTGCTGCTTTCAAGATTCTCTCTTTGTCTTTTGCCCTTGGCATTTTAATTATGATGTGTCATGGTGTGGTCCTCTTTGGATTCCTCTTGTTTGGGGTTCTGTGTGCTTCCTGAACTTGTAAGTTTATTTCTTTCACCAGGTAGGGAAAGTTTTGTCATTATTTCTTCCAACAGGCCTTTAATATCCTGCTCTCTCTCTTCTTCTGGCACCCCAAAAATATGGATGTTGGTATGCTTAAAGCCATCCCAGAGGCTCCTTACACTATCCTCACACTTTGGATTCGTCTTTCTTTTTGCCTCTCTGGGTGGGTGCTTTTTGCTTCCTCATATTTCAGATCTTTGGTTTGACTCTTGGGGTACGTTGATCTACAGTTGAGTTTTTGTATATTCTTTATTTCAGACAGTGTATGCTTAATTTCTGACTGATCCTTTTCTTTTTTTTTTTTCTTTTTTTTTCTTCTTTTTTTTGTATTCTCATTAAGGTCCTTGAAGGTCTCTTCAAGTTTCTCAGCAGTTTTTAAAAGATTCTTGAGTAACCTTGTAAAAGTGATTCTGAACTCTGTGTCATCCAGTAGTTTACTTTCCTCCATCTCTCTCATTCATGACATGCTTCTGTGTCTCTACATTTTGGTTGCCTCCCTGTGTTGATGGAGTGGCTTTGTGTGGTAGTTAACCTATAGGGACCAGTAGCTCAGCTTCCCCAATCACTCAAGGTGGTTGCTCTTAATCTGATATCTCACACTGACCACTGGGTACACTGGCTTCTGGGGTACAATTCAGCTATTGTCTGAGGCCATCCTGCAGGAGCTACAGCGAGAACCACAGTCCTCTCCTCCCTGCTTGGAGCTTGAAGGCTTTGGAGCTGTCTGCACTGGGTTGCAAGTTTGCTAGGTTAAACTGCAATAGAGAAGCCATTCATATGCAAAAGCCACTGCTTGGAGCTTGGGTGTGTTTGTAGATTGTGCAGGGTGGAGTCCCAGGGTGTCACTAGGCTAGGGTGTGGCAAACAATGATGACTGCCAGTCAGCTGTCTCTGCCTCTCTGACCATGTCCCTGCGTCTCATGCCCCAGCCCAGCAAACAATTATTCTTGCACGCAGCTCTGCAAGCAAACCACCCTCACTTTCCAACCTGACGGTGGACAGTCCAGCTTCTCCCCAGAAACTGGATTTCAGGGAGCTTGGGAGCTTGTCTCTCTTCGGGTTGAAGAAAGCAATGCCTGCTACCGGCCGGGATCCGCCGCCAGCCCATTTTTGTGCGCACACCTCCGTACCTCAGTTTTTCAGTGCTTGTGCCCTGATTGGTCTTTTTCTGTCTAATTGCAGAACTTCCACTCAGCCAGCTTTCCCGTGGTTCTGGGTGATAAGATGTTTTGTCTTTTAGTTATAGTTTTGAAATTGTTGTGCATGGCAGCAGTTTAGATGTTTACCTACGCTGTCATCTTGGATCTCCTCCCTACCACCCCATTTTTCTGCTAGACTTGGTAGCCCAACTTAACAGACTTCTATTCTCTCCTGTCTCTACTTTCTCACTGCCCAGTCATCTCTCAACTATTCCATCTGCCACATCCAACACTCTATCCAAACCCTTCGAAGTATCAAATCAATATTTTTTCATCCTCATCTTATTTAGCTTCTTGAAAGTATCTGATAATTAAAACTACCATCCTTTTTAAAACATCTGCTCTCCTGTCTTCCACCAAAACACTCACTTATGGGTATTCTTCCTAATTCCTTGGCTTCTTCTTACTTAGTCCTGGATGCTCTTCTCTTCATTCTCTATATTTTCTCTAGGTGATTTCATGGTTTTAATATCATTTATTTGCTGATGTGTACCAAATACATATTTTTTAGCTTAGGTTTTACTTCTAAGATAAAAATTTATCTATATAACTGATTATCTTACATTTTTACTTGGATTTAAAATATCAAAAAATGAGTTCTTCAATATTCCCGTTTTAAATGTACATTTTAATATTTCTGATCTCTATAAAAAGAACCTCCACCATCTAATTATTTATGCCAGACAGTTTTGAAATACTGTTAAAAACATTCCCTTTGCCTGGCTGGTGTGGCTCAGTGAACCACTTATGAACCAGGCAGTTTGATTCGTGGTCAGGGCACATGCCTGGGTTGTGGGTGCAATCCCCAGGCAGTAAGTCCATAATTCTCTCTTGTCATTGATGTTTCTCTCTCTCTCTCCCTCTCCCTTCCTCTCTGAAATCAATAAAAATATATACTTATTTTCCTCTGTTTTAAAATGGGTTTTTTTTTTTAGTTGTAATCAAAAATTTACTTTACAGTTATAAAAATACAAGAGGTCCAGTGCACAAAATTTGTGCATGGGGGTGGGGAGGGGAGTGTGTTAATATCCTTCAACCCAGCCTGTACCCTCTCCAATCTGGGACCCCACCAGGATTGGGCCTAAATGGGCAGTCAGTCATCCCTCTCACAATCCAGGACTGCTGGCTCCCAACTGCTGGCCTGCCTGATTGCCCCTAACCACTTATTCCTGCCAGCCTGATCACCCCATACCCACTCCCCTGCCAGCTTGATCCATGCTTAATGCTCCGCTGCCAGCCCAATTGCCCCTAACTGCCCTCCCCTTCAGACTTGGTCGCCCCCAACTGCCCTTCCTTCCTGGCCATCTGTGGAGGCCATCTTGTGTCCACATGGAGGTGGCCATCTTTGAACACATGGGAACAGCTCTCTTGTGTATTGAAATGATGGTCAATTTGCATATTACCTCTTTATTATATAGGATTAAAGTATGACCATATTTTCATAGAGATAAATGGTAAGAAACATAAATAGGAGACTATAAAAATAATTTTATTTATGAACCCAAGTAATATCATAGATATAGCCAGATATATGTATACTATCCACCAAAAGTAATATATATGTGTACTATATTTCATTACAATTGCTATGAACAAGACACATTTTTACACAGAAACTTGTAAATTTAAAAGTGACCATCATAAATTAGAAAGTGTTGCTACTTTGTTTAGCTTTTACTTCACTGAAAAATTTGAAGCCATGTCTAAGTATTTATGGTCCTAGATCTAAGTAAAAAGTTTACTATCAAAGAAAAACGTATTTCCATGATTGGCATCAGAAACTTTTAATTGAAGGGCCTATCTCCAAGTTTATCTTGTTATAACTGAGAGAAGAAAGCTTTTTTCTAGCAGATGTAAAGAAAGTAGTATCAGGAAAAAGTAACTCACCAATTTTTTCATCCAAGCACATAATTTTCTCCTGAGTAAGCTGAAGCTCATATTTTTTCTTAGCAAGGTGCCGCTGATTATCAGAAAGGTCTTTTTCTGTATTTTCATATAAAACTCTGTAAACATTTTAATAATAAAACTAATTCTGAAATTTTCATGTTTTATCAACCTCTTAGTGTATTTAAATCTAAAAACTTTTAAGAACACTAATAAACATTTTTCTTGTTAGTATCTTCCTAAAGCCACATATTAGGACGTTTAAGGAATAAAGGGTAAAAAGGGATCCTTAGTCCACCACTCCAACATAAGCTATAATTAGCATTTTGGTGTTCATTATTCAGTGTTGCTGTTTTTTCATATTTTTCATATTAATGTTATGCATATTTAAAATTATCATACTATAAATTCAAAATTGAATCAGATATTCTCACCTATACTTAATCTTTAATAATTTTCAGTCTATAACATAGTCTTCCAAAACATCATTTTCTGCCTAAATATATATGATTAATAGCTATTTATTTTTAAGTAAAAACAAACATTTACTTCAGTATTCTATTATTAGACATCTAAGTTCATTTCCATTTCTCACTATTACTAATAAATCTGTAGTGTACAGCATTTCATTCACTTCACATTTATTAAACATCGTTTTATATGTGTAGCTAAACTTGTAAGAATTTGTAAGGGAAGTCCCCTGGAGCCAAATTAGAGCCATCAGACCATGAAGTGATGTTATGCTAGATATGATTGGGGTTTGCCTGTCTCAGTAGCCTAGGGTCTTAACTCAGAAACAAAAGATGAGGTCATTGAGATGCCTGCAACACAAGAATTAGAACTAAGGCCCTCCCACATAAAGCCACTGAGGACTATAACAAAAGTGAAATGGTCAGACTAGACAAAATCAGCTCGTCAACCAGCCATTGCTAGGATCAGGGCAATAAATAAATAAATATTTCTTGGGTATTGTTAATCTCAGGACAATAAATCTAAATAAAATCTGGCTCTAGGATGTTTGTATAATCTAGAGCACTTGGCAGAAATAAACACAAAACTTCTCTGGAAGGACATACTCTCCATCCAGGCTAAGAACTAAACATCAGACAAAGGCATGTTGGAAATTAGTTCACAATTCAAAATTTAAAAACACATAAAGTAATTATCCAAATTTAGTGGGAGTCAAAAGACACACAAACTAAATTAGATCCCTTAGAACTATAGTTAGTAGTATTTTCAATAGAAAATTAAGAATAGTTTTATTTTTAAAAATACATTTTTATTAATTTCAGAGAGGAAGGGAGAGTAATGACAGAGAATCATTGATTGGCTGCCTCCTATACATCCCCCAGTGGGGCTTGTGCCCACAACTCAGGCATGTGCTCTGACGTGAAATTGAAACATAACCTTTTGGGGTTCATAGATTGACCTTCAATCACTAAGTCATGCCTGCGGGGCAAGAATAGTTGTATTTAAATACTAAAAGATAAAGTAATAAAATATATAAGAAAAAAGAACGAGCAGATTTTTTTTAAAGAACTAATGATAAGTTCAGAAAATTAAACTAAAATAATTGAAATAAAAAATTTAAAACATCAATAGACAAATTTAAGAGCACAATAGACACAGCAGAAGATAAAATTGAAAAAAATCTAATCCATACTAATTATCTATTAAAAAGCACAACAAAAGAGAGAGGTTAAAAAACAAAAACAAAAACAAAAACAAAAACAAAAAAACAGAATGAGAAGGTCCAATAATCACCTAATCAAAATTCTAGAAAGAGAGGATAAACACAATATTCCAAATAATAATCTCTCTATAAAAGCCAAGTGACCAAAACAACTGGTCAGCCGCTATGACATGCAATGAGGCTCCAACTGCCCTTCCCCCAAGCCGGCCCCACTCCCCAATCAGCCACCCAATCCCAATCAGGTTTGGGGCTGGTAGGCAAATGCTCATAGCTCCTCCACCCAGCCAGCCCACCCCTATTGGACCCCTAATTCCAATCGTGGGTGGGGCCAGCTGGCCAACTGCCTGCAGTCCCGCCCCCCAGCCGGCCCCTCCCTTGATCAGCTCCCCCACCCCAATGGGGGGCAGGGGCTATCTGGCCAACCTCTCGAGTCCCTTTCCCCTCACCAGCCTGGCCCAATGGGCCCCCGTTGAGGACGGGTGCATGAATTCATACACCAGGTCTCTAGTAGCTAATATATAAAATCTTAGACTAAACAAACATCAATGAAAAATCTGAACGTGCCCAGGCTGGTGTGGCTCAGTTGGATGAGCGTTGTCCTGTGCACTGAAAGTTCCCCTGTTGTTTTCCCGGTCAGAGCACATGGCCAGGTTGTGGGTTTAATCACCCGACAGGGTATGTGAGGGAGGCCACCAATAGATATTTGTCTCTCACATCCATGTTTTTTTTTTTTTTTTCTCTCTCTCTCCCTCTCCCTTTTTTTTTTTTCTCTCTCAGAACATTAAAAAAAAAAAAAAAATCTGAACACTAACATTAAGGGAACTTAAGTCCTGAGCAGGACAAATAATAAATCAGTATCTATTATGACAATTATAAGTCGGGGAGGGTAGGAAGATTTAAAGGAAGGAAATATTTTTAAACACAAACTAATAGAAGTGATAACATGGGGGGAAATGTGTTCACAGGCAAAAATTATAAGACATTTGAAAAGTCCAGCCACTTAAAAAAAAAAAAAAAAAAAAAGCAAAAAAAAAAAAAAAGAAAACAAAGCAAAAAAAAAAAAAAACACCAAAAAAACCCACTCACTCATTACAGAATCAAACTGTAGCAGATATATTGGAATAAATAAATAATATTAGACTAGTAAATATATTAAAAGATATGAAAGATAACCAAGGGGAAAAACATAACAAATATGAGAAATCGAGTAGTTGAAATTAAAAATCAAAACAAAAAACACATGATGTAAATAGCAGAATATTTAAATCACTGCTGAGAGTAATTTTTAAAGACCTAAATAGAGAGATATTCTGTGGACCAAAAAGCTCTATATGTTCACCAACAGTTCTTCCAAAACTGACATATAGATTCAACTTAATTTAATCAAAATCCTAATAAACAATTCATAGATAAATGATTCTAATAAAGATAATTCCAAAATTGATATGGAAATATGCAGGACCTACGAGCAGCCCAAACAACTTTTAAATGGAATAAAGTTGGAGGAGTTATAGTACCTGATTTTAAGACTTCTTATGAAGCTTCAATTATTAAGACAAAGTGATACTAGCATAAAGATGAAAAAATATATCAATGGATCAGAATAGAGCTCAGAAACACTCACACATGTAAGGTCAATTAAATTTTTAGGTACTAAGGCAATTCAATGGGTGAATGGGATAATCATAATAAATAAGAAGCAATGGCTATCCAAATATACAAACAAAACTTTTAATCTCATATCTACACCAAGCATGTCAAACTCATGGCCATGGGGCCACATGATGAGGCATGTGGCCTGCCAACCGTGAGTTTGACAAGCTTGCCTTACAAGAAAATTACTTCAGAAAAGGATCATAAACCTAAATACAAACACTAAAACTATAAAAGCTTTTAGAATAAAATAGCAAAAAATTTTAGTGACCTTAGGATTGGCAAAGAGTTCTTAAATAGAACATGAAAGCATGCTATAAATAAAACTAATTTCAATAAATTATACCTTACCAAAATTAAAAACTTTTGTTTATCAAAAGCATACTCTGGAAGCATATATTTTCAAAACGTATCTGACAAAGAATTTGTAGTTAGAACATATAAAGGATTTTTATAAATTAATGATAAAAAATAAATAACCCAATTAAAAACAATTTTGAACAGTACTTCAAAAACTAAATCGATAGATGGCAAAGAAGTTAATGAATGCATGATAAACTGATCATAATTACTGATTAGCAAAAAGCAAATTAAAATCACAATATAATACTAAACATCCACTCTAATTCTAGTAGCACTAAAATTAAAAAGACACTATCAAAAGTTGGAAAGAATATAAAGAAACTAGAACTCTCATGCACTGCTTGTGGCAAAAATAAAATAGCAAAACCATTTTGGAAAACAATTTCTAATTCCTTAAAAAGTTAAAATAGATCCAGCATATGACTCAGCAGTTCAAATCCTGGGTATTTACTCAAAAGAAATGAGCATATAAATACACAGAGACTTGTATTTGCAGTTCTATTTGTTATAATTAAAACCTGAAAATAAACTAAATGTCCATTTGGTATCTTATATAATAAAAGTCTAATATACTAAGTGTCCAGTTGTCCAGTTGTTCATTCAACCAAAGCATAATATGCTAATGATAGGCTAAGGCCACTCAACTGCTCATTATAACATGCACTGAGCAGCAGGTTAGCTTGCTGCTAGGGTCCGAATGAATGGGATTGAGCAAAATGGGCCAGACATGTCCTGGAGCCCTCTCAGGGTCCCTTATCAACTAGCTAACTTCTCACATCTCTCCCTGGCCTCTATCATGCACTGATGGGGTCCCTTGGCCTGGCCTGTGCCTCTTGCAATCCAGGACCGCTCAGGAGATGTCGGAGAGCCAGTTTCGACCTGATCCCACAGGACAAGCAGAGGGAGCCCATTGGTGCACGAATTCATTCACTGGTCCTCTAGTATAATGCAATATGACCCAAAAAGTGAATCAGCTACTGAAACACACAATAACATGGATTAATCAATCTGAAGGTAATTATGCTCTATGAAAGTAGAGCAATAGAAGAGTACATGGTGAACAATTCCATTTAGATAAAATTGTAGAAAACCCAAGATAATAAAAAAAAAAAAAAAAAAAAAAAGCAGATCAGTGGATGCCTGAGCAGCATAAGGGAAGGATTATAAAGGAAACATATATACATAATTACATTATACTGATTATTGGGATAATCTGATAGGTATATTCATATGTCAAAGTTTATTAAATTGTACCTTTTAAACACATGCAGTTAAGGTACATATCATATATCAATTACACCATAATAAATTTGTAAAATATGAACAAGAAAACTATGCTAATATCTAAATAACATATATCGCCAAATAAAAGATATAAAAATAGGGAGATAAAAATACTGGAAGAAATAA